GCCGGGGGCCTCCTTCGGTCCCAGGTGCCTCAGTTTGAACCCCAGGAGGTCCCGGAGGTGGGATGCAGCTCCAATGACGAGGACAAAGACGACGATGTTATAGAGATCACAGGGAAATAACGGGCCCGACTCCTGCTCGGTCTCAGCTCAGCTTAGGAGGCCAGTGTTGCAGGACCTTTTTGGGAGGCAGGATTTCCCCTCTGGGTCATGGCATCGGGTGGAGAAGGATGTGAAGGGGCTGGTGGGGGGGTTGGTTGGTTTCTTTTTGTTCCGTTTGGTTGGTTCTTAGCTGTTGAGGATCTGAACTGTACTGGGAGCTGGGGTGATGGAGCGGAGCTGCGAGGGGAGCGAGAGCCGGGGCAGGGAGGGAAGCAGTGGCGCAGACCCTAGGAGAGCCTCCCTCCCCCCACCTCCCCACTCTGTCTGTCTGTCTGTCTCTGTTCTCTCTGTCTTGTCTGGAAGGGGGAGGCTTTGGGGCCTGGAGGCCCAGTCTCGACCGGCCTCCCCGTAAACTGCCTTATCTGTGAAGACGTCCCCCGCGGCCGGGGCCGCTGCGGCCGGGGTTGGGGACGAAGCGTTTTTACTGGGGACGGGGCGGGAGGGCTTCTCTGTTGTGCGTGTTTGGGCGGGGAGGGAGATTTTGATGTTAGAGAGAAAAAAAAAATACGGTTTGTTCATCGTCCTCTTCAAATCTGAACGACACTGAGTCGGAGGCGCCCGGCCGGGCCCGGCTGCGGCGGGAGGGCAGGGGGAGCTCCCCGGCCCAGGTAGGTTGTCCTGGCGGCTGCTGCAGGGAGTCCTGGTGACTCCCCCGGGCTCCGCGGGGCTGCGCCCAGGGCACCTCCGTGCCTGCTGGGGCCAGCGAGCGGCGTGAGGGGCTCGTTGCTGCTTTGCACCAGCTGCCGGCGCTGGAGGAGGGCGCGAGGGGGTGCGGTGGGGGGGCCAGGCACCCGTCGCTGCTGCCTCTGCGATCGGAGCGACTTCCCCCACACCGCATCTCTTGCATTAATTTATTTCATGAAGGCGTAATATTTATTGTTTGGGGGACTCTTTCTTTCTATTTTTAAATTAATTTTCATGTTAAAAAAAAGAAAAAGAAAAAAAAGAAAAAAAATAAAATTCTGGCCTCCATCGTGCAGTGGTTGCTCATGGGGTTGTCTGTGTGGGGAGAAGCAGCTGTTGAGCAAAGCGTAGTGTAGGAGCGGGCGCTCCTGCTGCCTCACGTCGTGTTTGCCGGGCAGGCCCTGCCGGCGGAGCAGAAGGAGCTGGGCCAGGGTTCGGAGCGGCCGGGGGGAGCCTGGAGGCCTCCTGTGGCGTCAGGGCCCCCACGCCAGCTCCTGGCGAGGGCAGTGCCGGGACAGCGGCGTCTCCACGAGGCGTGTGGGGGGCTTGTGTGCGGGTCCGGCGCCCTGGGAAGCTCCATGTGTGTCTGGGGGCAGCTGTGCCGGCCCGCGCAGGGTGTCCTCGGAGCGGGGCCAGGCTCTCCCGGGCTCCTGCAGAGGCTTCCCGGGCTGGGGAACCCGCGGCTGTTGGTGCTTGCCGGGACCAGCTAGGTGTAGGAGGAGAGGAGAGGAGGAGATGTCCTTCTGCTCCGCGGGGGCTCTGGAGGATGGGGACCTTCCTGGAGAGAGGGCGAGCGAGAGGTGCATGCATGTCGTGCAGAACCATAATAAACACGTTACGGGGCTTTCCTAGTGTCTTTCTCTGTTTAATGGACGTTGTCTGTCAAACGTAACCCCCCTGTTCATAGAAGCCTTAGAACAACAGTTTAGCTATGCAAATTATTTTATTTTATTTTTAAGAAAACAAACATTAAAATAGTGCTTTCTTCTTTAACATATCCTAGGAGTTGAAAACCGAGGGGTTCTGAGCAAACTGCTGGACAACTTGTCTTTGGATGCACCATGGAAATAAAAATCAACCCCCCCCCACAAAAGTAACAAAGCAAATTAACTGATGGGGTTCATGCAAGTTTCTCCAAAGACTTGACATGCTGCGTCTGTGAGTCGTGCCCTCCTGTGCTCTGTGTGTCCACCTCGTGCACGATCCCGTGCCGCTGATTGTATTGCAAGCTTGCCCAGATGTCCGTTGCATCCCTGTGAGGCTGGCAGATTCCCGGTGGATTTGGGGAATGGACCTAGGCAAGGGCTTTCCTTGTCCAGGGTAGCAAGTTTTTGAGACCTGCGGGAGTGTGAGACTGGGCGGGAGGCCGGGGGCTCCTCAGAGCTTGAGCAGAGGGTGCCTGGGGCCCTTCCCCAGCCCGGCTCCGCAGTGGCCATGGGCAGGGGACTGCGCTCGCCCCAGTGACCCTCCTGGTGTCTCTCTGGGGTGGCTCTGCTTGGGGCTCTGCCGGCGGGGCCTGCGCGCTGTTTTTCCTCCTCTGCTCGTTGCCTCTCCAGGAAAGCACGAGCCACCTCCAGAGGGGCCGGTGCTGCAGCGAGCGGCCCTGGCACCTTTCCCCTCCGCCAAGGGTCCCTGGTTGTGACCTAGCCCCGTACCGCAGGACTCGAGGCGGATGCGCTCGGCCCCCATCGGAATGGGGCTCTGGCTGCCCGGTGCCCCGTGGTCCTCGGCAGCCAGGAAGCCTCTAGCACAGCCGCCCCTGGAAGCGACCCACCCTGAGGGGCTCCCTTCGTTGCTGAAGAGCCGGGCATGTGCTGCCCCTGCTCAGAAAGAGCCCGAGTCGAGTCCCAGTCGCCCTTTCTGAGCATGGCCGGGCATGGCAGCGCCTCTCCCCCCACTTAGCCACCAGGTTCCCTGCCCTTCAGCCCTTGCCTTTCATGGGGACCCGCCCCTTGTCAGAGTGTCGGCACAGAGATGGTCAGATGGTCGCAGTGCCTGGGGCAGCAGCTGGCCGTGATGCTGACCCTCAGCCCCGGCGAGCGGCCCAGGGCGGCGTGGGTGGGCACCGGCTCTCACGCGGTGCTCTAAGGCAGGGGGAAGGGATTTCCTTCTGCTTCCTTGAAGCCGCACGGGTGTGCAGGTTATCCAGGCTCCTCCTGAACAGGTTATCCAGGCTCCTCCTGAACAGGGTGACCTCTCAGAGCCCCAAACACCATGGCCTCCTCCTCCCTCTTCTCCCACCTTTTCTTTAGCACGTAGTTGTGCTTTAGAGGGTCCTGTCTAGGTTTTCTGAGCCTGGAATGGGGGCTTTTCCTGCACGGGTTGAATTTTTTGTTTTGCTGCTGAGTTCGTCTTTCATGAACTGATGGGAGCAGCTGGCAGCTCGCGGCTGGGCTGCGGGTGACACTGAGGACAGCAGTACAGGACTCTCCGTGGAGGCGTTTGGACACTAAGGAAGATTCCTGAGCACAGCCCCAAGGTCCCCTCGCACGAGCACCCGCCTCTGAGCTCTTCCCTTAGGTGGGAGGTTTCCACTCCTCTCCGGATGCAGCAGGGACAGTCGGGCAAAGCTGCGCCTTGTACCACTGCAAGACACCACGGGGTGGGTGGGGAGTGACCTGCAGCTGCAACGCGCCCGATACTGTCCCCACGGCCGTGCAGGCTCTGTGGGGTTGTCCGCCCTTCACTCCCGCGGGTGGCGGAGCCTGGGGCTGCAGCACGGCAGGTACCTCAGGGTGCCTCAGAGCGGCGGGGCCTCGCCTGGCCCACAGCTGGGCCCATTCGCTCCCGGGGCGCCAGGAGCTGCACAGATGACTGCAGATACAGAAACGCTTCCAGGAAGCAAGGACGGGACTTCCACGGGTGCCTCGCTAGAACCTGCGTCTGCTTGACTTACTGGTGTCAGCTAATAGCTGAACGCAAGAAAATGGCTGGTGGCTTGTGGATGACTTCTAGGCCCAAAGGGGCAAGCGCGGCAAGGATCTTCTCAACTGCTGTTTCACTCTAGGACGAAGTTTGTCAATGCAGTCTTGGAAGGGCAGGGGGTGGGGGGCAGAGATTCAATAGGGGGGTGTAGTCGGGCTACGTCCCACTGGGGATGAGGGCTCCTCGCACACGGAGCGCGAAAGGAGGACGCGGTGTGAAGGAGGCAGCGCAGCTTGGCCGCCTCCTGCAGCGCCACCGCAGTGGCTCCTGCAGTGGGAGTGCCCGGCTCGGAGATGGGGTCTTTTTGGCCAATCCACCTATGGAGGGGAGCCTGAATGAATCCACTGATGAGTCTCGTTTTGTTTTGGGCTGTTTTTGTTTTCTTCCTTACTACCGCCTTAGTTTGTGGCCTGTCTTTTTGTGATTGGAAAGAGGAGTATCTCTAGCAGGGTGGGTTGGGCGGTTGGCCCCACGCATGACCATGTGCTTCCCTCTTCTCTCTGTCGAGCGGGATGTGCTCTCCCAATCTCCCAGAACAGAGACTTTGAATAATTTGTTGTTTATATGATGTATTTATTTTTACTTGTGTTTCATGTCATTTTTTAAAAAATAATAAATTGTAAGTTGGTATAATTGCCTGGTGTCTTTCTCTTTTGGTAAAGTGAACTTCAAACACAATTTGATACAAAAAAGCAGTGCGGGTCACGGTTGGGTTGTGCACCCCCAGCGGTGCTGCTGCCAGAGCCCCGCTCAGCAAGCAGCTCCCGAGCGCCGGCTCCGGTACGAGGTGCCGACCTGGGCAGGCCGAGGGGGCATTCGGGTCTGCTTCTGTCCATGGCGGCATCTGGGTGTTGCCCAGTGTCGGGAGCCAGGTGAAAACTGGCTCTTTCCATCCTCAGTCCTCTGCATTTGCTGTTGCTGCTAATAATGATCACTGTTAAGGGCGGGGAAGGAGGAGAATAAATACTTAGCAGGGTGTAAATAGCTTTGAGTCTTGAATCCGGACGGACTGCCCCGGCCCCGCTGTGCTCCGCGGGGGCGCATGGAGAGGCCGAGGGCACTGGCACGGTGTGAGGTAGTCAACGCACAGCGCTTTCTGCACAGGAGGCTGAGAGGCACCTGGGAGCTGGTGCCTGAATGCAGGAAGGGCCCAAATTGGTGGAGGGGGCGGGCGCCAGTGCCCTGTGGTGGCCCCAAAGCAGAGGCAGCCCCGGGCCGCTCTGCGCGGTTGGTTACAGGCGCTGAGGGTGCCGTAGCACTCGGCCCTTCTTGCTTTCTGGGGAAGGATGCTGCCACTTCTGGGGCCAGGCCTTCTGCCGCTGCCTTTCCTGGTGCCGCAGGGCATTGCAGTAGGTATCGAGGCTGGTGCCTGGTGCCCCCAGCGCCCGCGGGAATCCCTTGTAGCTCATTTGTAGGTCCACTCGGGGCAGGGGGGGCTGGTAGCTTCCTCCTAGCTCGGCCCCCTTGCCCCGCTTGTAGGGAGGCGCCTCCATCGCCTCGTGCCTGATGACACGAAGGCTGTAGCGCGTGAGGGGCCGCGAGAAGGAGCGCTCCACAGCCCGGCATTCGTAGGTCCCCTCGTCCTCCGTCGCCAGCTGGCGGATCAGCAGCCCTTGCTCTAGCATCAGGAAGCGGCCGTTGCTCGTGAGCTGGGCGAAGGCAGAGCACTGTGAGCCTCGGTGCTGCGCCCGGCCGAGCCATCCCCGGGCCCTGCACCCCGTACCTCGCTCACGCTCCCCTCGTCGCTGTGCTGCACCAGCCACTGGATGCTTGTCTGGGGCGAGCGAGGCAGGCACTCGAGGAAGGTTGAGTTTTTCTCCACGCCGAAAACCAGCTTCTCTGCTGCAGTGGTCCCTGTGGGCGAGAGGGGACAGGAGGAGGGGTGACTGCCCAGCTCTGCGCTCCCTGCGCTGCCCAGGGTGCCTGGCAAGATGTCTGGCACTGCCCGAGCGGGGCAGAGGGCTAGTGCTGGCACAGGCCCTGGCAGAGGTGCCCAGGACACGGGTGCTGGTGTCTCGGTGCTGGAGCCTCCTCGCAGGGGCTGGCACTCACCGTCTGTGGTGTCCTGGCACTGGCTGAGTGGGTCGGACTTCAGCGCGTCCTGCCAGCGGGCCTGCCTGGGGGAGCAAGCACATCTTGGCAGCGCTGGCTGGGGGCACTCACCCGGGCTGTGTGCCCTGGGCCACTCAGTGGCAGAGCAACGAGGCACAGGGGATGAGGGGCAGTGTGGCAGGTGGCAGGTGAGGGTCAGGGCAAAGCCTTCAGGGTCATGGCTTGTCCTTGCCCATGCAGGGGAGCAAGGCAGGTGCTCACCTCTTCTCTGTGAGCAAGTGTGGGGCGCAGCTCTTGCCATCCCAGGTGCAGTAGGGATCCCTGGCCAGGCAGCAGTCGGTGCAGGCTTTGCCGTAGAGCTCACAGCGGTACAGGGAGAGCTGCAGCAGCCCGTGGGTGCTGCTCACAAACAGCTCCTGCTGCTCAGGCAACGAGAACAGCAGCTGTCAGCACCCACTGAGGCTGCAGACATGGGGTCCAGCCTGGGACTTGGGCATCCTGCCCTGTGCCAGGCCGAGGACCTGTGGCCTGGAGAGACCAGTGGGGTGCAGGGCTGAGCTTGCTACTCCCTCCACCCCGAGCTGTGCAGTGCTGCCCTGGTGAAACCTGCTCTCTACAGGTGCGAGGCCTGGGACTGAGGGGGAGAGGCTGGGGTCAGCCATCCCTTCCCTCAGCTACCTCAGGGTGAAGCCTTAGGGAGAACTCACCCGCTTTGGTGACAACTGCATGTCCAGGATGGGAGAAGGTACCTGGAAGAGAGGAGGGTTAGTCCTACAGTGGAGTTAGTCCTTCCCCGGCACCTCAGTCCACCAGTGACCCTCACTCCACTCCTTGCAGGGACGGTAACTGCTGGTCAGGGTTGCTGGGAGACAACAGCAGTGAGGCTAAGGATCTCCCCGCATGGAGGCCAGGGAGGTACTGCAGGGGGCTGGACGAGGCCATACTGCTCAATTCGGCAGCCTGAGGTCCAGCCCTGGCCCAGGTCCCTGTACCTTGGTGACACTGATCTCCTCAAGGCTGATCTCCTCCGTGCCCTGGCTCGCCCCGCTGGCCAGACCCACCTTCAGGACTTTGCCATCATCTGTGAATGCAGCAGGAGAGGGAGCTGTCCGGGCTGGGAATCACCAGCCAGGGCAGGACTGGGTGTCACCACATGGTGCCAGCGTGCCCAGAGCTGGGGCAAGCCCCTACCTGTGCCAAGGAAGAGCACGTCGTAGTGCCTGCTCTCCATCTCCACCCTGTGCACCAGGAGCCTCTGGAGCCGGTACGGCACGTTGACCCTCACGAGGACGGGCCGGCGGCGCTGCGGGTACACGGGCTCCCACATGAGCTGGTGGGTGCGCATGAAGCTGATCAGCTCGTCGGGGAAGTCCTTGGTGGATTGCAGGAGGGGGTCGTACGTCTCACTGGGGCACTGCGAGGACCACAGGGAGCTACGTTACGACCAGGACGGCCTCTCCGAGCCCCCCGGCACCATCTGCTCCCCTGCTCCAGGTCCTTACTGTGCCAGGCCGGGGGTACGGGATGCGCCCCTTGTACTCTACCCAGCGGTAGTCGAATCCCTCCTTGTGTGCGAAAGGGCCGCTGAAGGCGGCTCTCACGGCAGCCATGGAGTAGACGCACACGGCGGAGCCGCTGAAGACGCCGCTGGAGGGGAGAGAGAGTGGAGCTGTCAGTCTCCCTGCTCCTCCGCAGGAGCCAGCTCTGTGGCACCCATGTCCCCTGCGGCCTTTCCTTGCCCAGCTGGGTCTTTCCACAGGGCTCCCCATGGCGCAGTGCCGACGAGGGGACAGAGGTGGCTGGACTGTCCTATGCACAGGGCCAGCCAGTGCCCAGGACTCACCTGGAAACCGTGAAGAGGCTGAAGACAAGAGGGTTCTGTGGATCCCGGGTGCGGAGGAGGAAAACATCCTCTGCAAGGAGAGAGGTGGGGATGAGGGGCCTGGCAGCCGTAGCGTGAGCCATGGGGATGGTCTGACGGCCGTGGGCACCGCTTAGCGACAGGCTCGCGGTGGTGGCATTGGCGCCTCCCTCCCAGCTGCCGTGCCGCTGAGCGGTGTGCGCACTCACCAAGCTGGTCGAAGTGGGTCTCGGTGCCGTGGGGCCCGGGGATGGAGCATACCAGGCGGGCCTTGAGGAATGTGCTCCAGCGATTGATGAGGCTGCGCTTGCCCCCAGCGTCGTTCTGCCGGGCACCAGGTGCTGCCCTCAGCCCAGCCTCTCCCATCACTGCACCTGCCTCCATCCCCACGCTGCACTCGGTGACACCCTCCACCCCGGTTCTTGTTGTTTGCCCCTATTTGGGATGTTCCCCCAGCCCAGAGCAGGGATGATGCCTGGGGACCCTCTATGTGGCCAGTCCCTGGGGCAGCTGAGCCCCCCCTAGGCTGCCTGGCAAGCTGCTCTGTGCTGCTCGCAGGGTGCCAACCCGCCAGGACTGACCTTGCAGACCCGCGCCACCCTGGCATGGATGTGCCGTCTCTCCCACTGCCCGGCTTCCAGGGCGGTCTCGCGGAAGAAGATGTAGACCTTGTCATCACGTGGGTTATGGGTGTCAGGGATGGCATAAGCGCCAACGAACGCAGGCTCTGCGGGGAGGAGGAGCAGCACAATGTGGCCGTGTGCTGGCAGCTCTCCCAGCTAGATCTGATCTTGTAATTTGTGCCAGAGGCTTTCAGGCATTCGCTTCCCCCATGGAAGAAGCAAAGGGAGCCCTCAGGCCACGCAGCAAACACCACGCTGACCCCTCGCCTCTCCCCACGCCTCTACCGTGTAGCCAGTGATCCTGGTTCTGCTCCGTCCGGATGTAGCTCTGCTCAGCCCTGTGAACCCAGGTCCGGAAGAAAGCAGCACTGCTGCCCATGAAGTCACTGGAGGTGCCAGAATAGAGCTCCCCATCTGCAGGGTCAGGAAGGAGATGCGGGTGAGCTGGGGTGCTACTGCTGGCAGTTACCCTGGCAGGGCTCCCCAGATCCTCAGTGCAGCCCTGCATCAGGAGCAGTCCCTTCCTCAGCCACGATGACACCAGTGCTGGCTCTGGCTGATGACCCACCAGGTGCTACAAGGTGGGCCAGCCAGTGTCCCTGCACACACCCCCATGCATGTGTGGCATTTGTAAAGCCCCTCTCATGTTTTTGAGCAGGAACCTCTCTCTGAGGCTGGGATGAACCTGAGCATGACAAGGCTCTGCAGGGTCAGCACGCAGGGACTTCCACACAGGCCATTCCCAGGACTCCCACCCTCCCAGCATCACCTCTACTCCCTGCTCCCCGTTTCATCTTACCGACAAGGAGCCCTGTGAAAGGTTCATGGGGGCTGTATGGGCACCGTCCTCGCCCCGATTCCAAGGAGTGGGTCACCAGCCGCATCGGTAGGGCCCCAGTATCCTGCCAGAGCCAGAGGGGAAATGTCAGCCTAGATGGGGGCTAGCAGTGAACCTGACCCCACCTCCCTTGGCCTGTCCCTGCCTCCTGTGGGATGTCCCTATCATTTGGATAACCTTCAGCCTGGGAGCAGAAGGTCTGTGCTGGCTAATGCCACAACAGGTACACCTCTCTCGGGGCACCCCGGTGCTGCCGAGCATGAGCTGCTTCTCAGCACGTGCAGCTGCAAGCTCCCTGCACTGGCCCCAGGCTCGGGGCCTGGCTATCCGGGCACGCCCTTCCCCTCCCTTCCCCGCTATAGAGGAGGACAAGGATCTGCTGGGAGGAAGCGGGGGACATGGCTCACCAGGGCATCCCTCACCTTTGCTCTGCCTCCCAGCTGGATGAAGGCACAGACAGGCTGGTAGGAGCCAGTCCCACAGGCAAACACATGGCTCCTGTTGAAGGGCTGCAGGAGGCGGATGAAGTTGGCACATTCTGTCTGCTCGGGACAGAAACGTTGGCAATGGTGAGAGCCCAGGTAACACGCGCAGATGCAGCTCCTACCAACCATTTTTCAGGTCTTCCCAGGATGGGAAGCCCACCTGGGTGCTCCCCGGGGACTCAGCAGGCTGAGCTTGCTGAGGCCCAATGCCAGTCTCGGCTGGCTGGACACTGCTGTGCTCTGCAGCTCCCCAGGGTGCCATTTTGGGTCGTGGGGGTGTTAGACACCTGTGCTGGGCCCAGCAGCAGGCCTGCTTACCTCTGCATTCTTCCCTGCCAGACGGCAGTGCTCAACCTGCTCCCGGGAGGCTGGCCAGAAAATCTGCAACACAAACCCCATCAGCCTGAGCCCCACTTGGTGCCTGCTTTCCTCGACCTGCCTGGGCAGCACAGACACAGCTTGACCGGTTCCTCCAAGCGCTGCCTGCCACAGGCACGTCCCCAAAGGCTGAGGTTGGGGTGACCGTGACCAGTCAACCCTCTCTGCTGGGTTGAGGCACATGGGGAGGATGCCGGGCTGCACTGCGAAAGGTCTGACAACCCTCTGGGACCCAAAGGGACAGCTGAGCTCAGCGGGCAGGCTGCCAGGTAGGGTCAGAGCAAATCTGGGTGGGCCACGACACACCCGCTCAGCAGGCAGGTCCTGGATCCCAGCCCATGGCAACGCCAGGCCCGAATGTGCTAACGGTCTTTCCTTTTGTTGGTTTTGAACTGTGCACCCCACAGGCAGGATGCATTGGGATGACATTAGTGGACTCCATTTGTTTTAGATCTTGCAAAAGCAGTGATTATGGCGTGATCTCCGGGCTTTGGGTGCTTCCCTTCCACCCTCAGCCTGGACCCACCCAGCTCTTGGCTCCTGGCTGAGCAGCCCTGTCCTTTCCTGGTGCTGGCCACAGCAGGAGGCTCTTATGGCCCGTCCCAAGTGGGGATCAATACCAGTACATGGGCCAGGGGCTGGCTGACCCCACTGACTGAGAAATCCCAAAAAAATTGTGTCCTTGGCGACACTGCCCCATCCCAGCTAGGACCACATCCCCCTCCATTCCCTGGCACTGGCACAGAGCGCTTCCCCGGGGGAACTGCGGAGGAAGAGGCTGGTCTGGCTCAGGATTGTGTTCACACCCTCCTCCCCAGCACTGACCTTCTCAGGCTCCCTGGTGGGATGGTTGAGATGGAGCAGGAAGATGTGGTTTTTTGCTCCCACCATCAGCCAGGCCCTGTCTTCATTCAGCAAAAGTGCCTGGAAATCCAGCCCATCCGCTGACGCCAGCAACAGGCGAGAGCTGTTGGATCTCAGCAGATCTAAGGGGCAGAAGAAGAAGAAAGAAAAAAGGGAAGCCCATTAGTGAGGCAGCAGACAGCAGGAGACCCTCTCCTTCCTTCTCCCAGGAACAGCTCTCATCATCCACCCACCTCAAGGGAAAGCAACTTTCCTGACCGTGCCTTGGCGACAAATCTCTGGGGCCAAGTAAAACTCAAATGAAAAGCTGTATAAAAAGACGACTGCCCTGGCCCAGCCAGGACACTTGGACCAGCTCCTTTTTAACCGCTCAGTACCTGTGAGCTGCTGGGCTTTACCCCAAGCACCAGGCCAGCCAGATGCAGGGCCAAGGAGCTTGTAGCAAGTCTCCAGCCGCCTCTCGAGTGCTGCTCTGCCTCTGACTGTCACATTTTGATGTCTCATGCTCTGGGACACAGCCTAAACCCAGAATTAGAGCAGCTCAGGAAAGGGGCTTCTGAGAGCACCCATTTGGTGCTGGAGGAGGGAAGCAAGTGCTGGCCAGCAGGGACGGCAGCACGGGTGCCAGTAAGCAGAGCGTGCCTGGTTCCGTGTGCGCCGGAGGCTGCCGGTGGCTGCCGGAGGCTATTGCTCTCTTCCTTCCACCCCATTTCCATGGGAGAGAGGAAGCGGGGCCAGTTGTTGTGAGCTGGAAATGCCCCTGACGTCCGCTCCTGCCTGTGAGGAAAGGAGCTGCTGGGGCACATGCAACAAGCAGGATCCCTGCCGGAACCGCGACGCTGCAGCCCGGCCTGCTCCGACCAGGCGTTTCCTTCTTCCCTTTCTCCGGGGCTGCCCGGTGCTGGGATCAGAGCTCTAGTTACTGTAACACAGAGAAATCCATCTCTCTTCCAGGCTCCCAGGGCGATCTTGCCAGGACAAAGAGCCCTCACTCCGCTCCTGGAAAAGTTTCCTCAGTCTCAGTTCACTCATCCCTTGTGGACCTGAAGGATCCAGAGGGAATGTAAGACAAGGCACTGGAAAGGAAGATGCGAGGGCGAGGGAAGGTTGAAGATTCATCCAGTGCATGGGTGTAATTAAGTCAAGGGGGCAATTAAGCCATGGGGGACATGCCTGCGTCAAGGAGAAAGCTGCTATTATCACCACTTGGTGCTCGGAGCTGCTTTGGCCCTGTCCAAGCATGCAGGACTGACAGGGAGCCCTCTCTGCTGGTGTCTCAGGAGCCTGCTGCAATGTGGAGGGGAGGATGCGACCTGGCTGTCAGGAGGATTCACTGTCCTGCACTTGCAGCATGAAATCCACGGCAGGCTCCATGGGATGATGAGCACCGCGGTCCATCCCCGCCTCATGCTGCGCCATGGTTCTGCTCCTTTCCAAACGGTTTGGACATCTAAATATCTTTGATTCCCATGCTATATGCGCAGGAAGGTGCCTGCCAAATGAGCATAAACCACCCTTTCTTGCCCCCAGCCCATCTATACAAACAAGACATCTCATTCAGGCCCCAGCCCCTAAGGGAGGGAATCAAGTAGCCTCTGAAGAAACTGTGCAATGGCTAAAGACAGAGGTGAGCCCAGAGAAACATCCTCTCTTTTGTGTTATCTCCAAAGGCCATGCGGTGTTTCCCTTTGTTGTCAGGATCACTGAGACTGCCTCATCCCATCCATCATCCCCGCCTGCCCCGTAGCACCAACACCCTCAGCACAGGGTGACCCTCGGCTTCCTGGGGTCACCGCCCGGCTCTGCTGGGAGACCCTTCTCCATCCTTCACCCAGCCCTAAGAAGGAGCCAGCCCCAGGAGACGACCCCCGGAGCCCCGTGGCTGATAAGAGCTGCGTCAGGGCAGCTTTTGGTGCAGATAACCAGAGCCTCCTGCCCTGCCGCAGTGCAATGGCTTCTGGATCCTGCCCAGCTGGGCTGCCTCTCCATCACAGATAGCTGGAAAACCCATTTGGCAACTTCTAGCCAGGCCAACCCCAGATTATCAGAGCCACAGGAGCTCAGAGCAGTGCTGTCGTTTCACCGCACAGTCATGCTGCGGTGTAGCCGCCGTGTAAGAAAGCAGAGAGGCTCAACCCTGGCCAGCACCAAGGCTGCCCCAGCGTGAGCCGTGTCTACCCAAAGCTGCCTCCGACCTGCCGGGCTGCTGGCCTAACCCTGCTCCTTGCCTCCGCGGCGGGGCGGGAGCTGCCGCTGTTGTTCCTGGCCCCTTGCCCTGTGCCCCATCCTTCCTTTGCTCTTCCAGCCTTCGGCGCTGCCATTTCCTTCTCATGCGCCTGCTTACATTTCCCCTCTTCCCATCCAGCTCCACCTGCCACCCCCATGCTGGGATCTGACAGTGAGGCTGATCCTGTAGATGCTGGGGTGGATGTAATCTTTTTGTTTCTTTCCGAGGGATTTTTAAACCTAAAGTTCTCAGGCCATTGTGTCCTTGAACCTGCCTTGTGCTGTCCGTGAGTCACATCCCCTGTCATTGTTCGTATTGTCCTTGAGCCCTCCTGATGCTGGGAGCTTCCTCTCCTGCCTCTGCCCAAGACTCGAGGGTTTTTGGCATGCCTGGCCCCAGCACTCCGTGGGGCTTTGAAGTCAGGAGTCCCTCTGTGTTCCTGCCGGCTGAGCAGCCTCCTCTGCCTCCGCCTCCGGGGACAGACAGGCCCTGGCTGCGTTTCTGAGCTGGGTCCCATCTCCCTGATGGGAGACGCTGGAGTCTCAAGCTGGAGACTTGAACAGCCCGCAATGCATCCCATAAGATGCCTGGGGCTTAGGGTGCCTATTGCACTGTGTGAACACAGGGGATCTTCCCAACAGGTCAGGGAAGGTTCCCCCAGGTGAACTCCAGCCCCAGACACGCTCTATGGTTCACAGGGTGAGTCTGGGCAGAAGGGAGATGGCCCTGGCTGCCCCGAACCCAAGCTGCACCCAGGTGGGATGTGCTGTTCCCCGAGGCCGGCAGCACCCGTGCTGCATCCTCAGGGGCTGTGCCCACCATTTCAGCCACAGTCCATGAAGCACCCCGAGACTGGCGCGTGTAGAGTCATTGCAGCCATGACCTCCCACCTCCTGGGAGGCCTGGCTCATTCTGTCACCCTGGACATTCCTTCCAGCCCTTCAAAATGAAGCGTAGCCCCTACAGAAATCCCACACGCCAGCAGCCTCCAGGGCCCTCTTACCTTTATAGGAGACACGAAGGCGAGGGGCATGTTGCTTCCAGGCCACACTGGTGTCCGGGAGCAGCAGGAGGATCCAGAGCAGGATTGTGCCGAGGGGAAGCCCGCCACCACGGGAGGATTTCATCCTGGTGCTCTGCTGCTGGGCACTGGGGCAGCTCCCCGTCACGGTGCCATGGTCCACACACAGAGATGCCACCTTCACCTCCAGCTGTAAGAAGAAAAGGGGGAAGCTGCACGACTGCAGGCTGTAGCGGATGCGACTGTCCCACCAGCCCCAGGGACCCCTTGCTCCAAAGAGCTCTGGGTCACTCCAGCCATCCCGAGGGACAGCATGGCAGCTCTCCTGTACCCGAGGTGACAGTTCAGCTGCCTGGCAGAGAGGAGCTCCTGGGCTCTGCCCAAGAGCCCAGCCCCAGACCCACCCACGGCACTGCAGAACTAGCCAGCTCTGCCGAGCATGGGGGCCGGGGAGGTCCCTGGCCACGCTGGAGTCCCACAGCCTGTGCAGGGATGGCGAGGCTGAGTATCTGAGCTCCTGCAGGCCCCTGAGCAGCTCACCACAGCGCACGTTGGGACTGTTTATCTGAGCAGAGCACCTGCAGGCACTGAGGAGGGCCAGGCCCCATCGGTCTCTGTGAAAGCCAGACTTGGGGAGAGACAAGGCCTGTCTTGAAGGGCTCCATTAGCCTAAACTGACAGGTGGGAGGAAAAGCAGGAGGCTCAGCGAGGCAAAGGCCCCCTTGCTGGGCTATCCTTGCAGCCTCAATGGTTATTGATGAGGAGGAGACATCCTGGACGTTGCCAGGGCACTGGGGTCTGGATGTCTTCATGTTACAGAGTGGTTCAGTTCCCAGGTGGGTGCCGTGCACCCTATACACATCTCTGGGAGCTGTCAAAGAAGCTCCTGCTTGTGGAGCCCTGGTTCACTTGGCCAGTTTGAGCATGACAAGATCCAGCGTGGGCTGCACCGGAAGGCTGCATCTTCTCCTGCTGCCCAGGGGCTCAGACACGGTTTGCATAACAGAGAATTCCAAGGATGAGCTATTACAAGAAGGCTATGCCACGTGCATGTTGTGATGGCTTTGGGCCCAAGAAAGGCACCGCCAGCATTTAGCAGCTCCTGGACACTAACCACAGGGATCACTCCTACTCTCTCGCATTTACACACCGCCAGACACAGTATTATCACCTTATTCACCAACTCCCATGCATCCCAGAGGGGAGCAAAGTCAGACTGACAGTTCTCGGCAATTAATTAATGCAATTTAGACATTTTTTTTCCTGCTTATAAATGTCCTGGTCTCAAAACGTCAGCTCCAACTACCCTGTGCACTTGATGGGTGTTCAGATCTATAAGTCCCCTGGCTGCCAGACTTAGAATAAGCGTAGAGGCATTTGACCCAAGAAATAGGGGATTTCTGCAGTCTCTGTTACAGACTGTGTAGGAGTGAACACTCAGACACAGCCCAGGGAAGCCAAACATTTTAAACTGCCTTGTTCCCCATCTCCCACAAGACGGAGCACCAGGCTGGGCCTACGGGCCCAGTTTCAGCTTTCAGAAGCATGGGTTGTTATCTCTCTGGTGGGGGACAGGGAGAAGATGGCCAGATCTACCGCTCAGCAAATTTCCCCTCCCTTTCTGCATTCAGAGAGTCCCTGCGCTGTGCAGGGCTGTGTGCAGTGCTTGGGGGCAGCTCCTGTGCTGACTTTTTCCCTAGTCTTTACTGGAGTTAACCAGCTCCAGCCTAAAACTGTGCAGCCCCAAGTGCCATCCCCTAGCAGGACTCAAGCCATCAAAGCCCAGTGTCGTTCTGCCACGTTCCTGCCATGCAGAGGTAAAGAGCAGCAGTCCTGTGCTGGGGGAACTGGCAGTTTTAGCCCTTCCAAAATGCACCAAGTTCATCCAGAAAGCTGAAGACCTCATGCAGACCTGTTCTCCTGCAGACTCATGGCCATGGGTCCAGTGTCCAGTGTCCAGTTCTGGGCTTTATTGTGTCCAGTTCTGGGCTCTATTGTGTCCAGTTCTGGGCTCCACAGTACAAGAGGGATGTGGAGCTGCTGGAGAGAGTCCAGCGCAGGGCTACAAGGATGATCAGGGGTCTGGAACATCTGCCCTATGAGGAGAGGCTGAGGGAGCTGGGCCTGTTCAGCCTGGAGAAGAGAAGGCTGAGAGGGGATCTAATCAGTGTATATAAATACCTCAACGGAGGGAGTGCAGAGGACGGGGATGGTCTCTTTTCAGTGGTGGCCACTGATAGGACTAGAGGAAATGGCCGGAAACTGAAACATCAAAAATTCCATAGGAACTTAAGGAAAAATTTCTTAACAGTGAGGGTGACAGAGCACTGGAACAGGCTGCCCAGAGAGGTTGTAGAGTCTCCTTCTCTGGAGATCTTCAAAACCCGCTTGGACGCAGTCCTGTGCCACGTGCTCTAGGTGTCCCTGCGTATGCAGGGGGGTTGGACTAGATGATATCTAGAGGTCCCTTCCTGAGTGAACAGTGTTATTCCAGGGTCACTGCAAGGACATGACTGTGATTTGACCAAGAGTTTTTGCCAATGTACATATGGTTGCTGGAGAACTTGCCCTCTAATTGCAGCTTTCTATAAAGGGAGCAGAGCCCGTGCTAGGCTTCGGACTGGGGACAGCAGTCGGCACGTTCATGCCCTGAAGCTCCAAGACATCCCAGGGTGGGCCCGGGAAGCTGCGAATGGCGGGCAGGGCACAGCTCCCTCCCTCTGCGACGTACATCCATTCTGCAAAGCTCAGGTAAAATCCCAGCTCCCTCTCGGTGGGAATTGCCTGGCTTCATGCGCGAGGCCTGGTACAGAGGCATGCTCAGCCGTGCCCGTTTGGCTGGGTGAAGTGGCTGGAAACACACAGTGGGGTCACAGCCCCTTCCTATAAACCTCAGCCCAAGTGTTCCTGGAGGTGAAGAGCTTGTCACAGGCAGAGTTTACACGGAGAGGGGGAGAGCGGGTGTCTAGTGGATGGAAACAAGCTGCAGATGATGAATCCAGGGTTAAATTAAACACTCCCGACAGCTTTAAATAATCAACTGCCCTGAGCTACAACTATTTCTATCTCAGTTTGGAGAAAGAATTGCTGATGAGAGCAGACCGCTGGGGTGAGGGGATTTCTGTGGGTTTGGCTTTGGAGACCGGGTTACGGCACAGAAGATTTCATGCCCTGGGTACCAGGAGGGCCTGAGGGAGAGGAAGGATTTTGCAGTCCCGGTTTTACGGGGAGTGGCAGTAACATTTTTGATGGAATTCAGCTCTTTAAACTCACTGCTCCGCCTGCTTTCCTGTTCTGACCCATGCTACCAGCGGCTCTACAAGCAGGCAGGATCGCAGGAGAAGATGTGGGCACCTTGTAGCCCTGCCTTCCACGGCACTATGCTACGATGCTTCGACTCCCCCGTGGCAGCCCTATGTCGCTCCATGACTGCATCTCTACTCAGATCAGTGAGGTGCTCAGGAGTCTAACAGATTTAAGGATCTGGAGTATCCCCTAAACCCAGCACTTGGTGCCCCTGCACAAAGTTTTCCTCTGTAGAAGTCCTGGGGAGAGCCTTGTAGGGACCAATGAGCAGCACCGGGACATGACAAACATCTTGAGTTTGAAACAGGTTGCTATGGGAGGGAAGCACTTGTCCTCTGACAACGCCTGTTTTCTGCGGTGCCATGAATAGCGCAACTGCCCAAAATTTAGAGGGGGAAGGTTGCTGGCAGTAGATGGATCAGGCTGTGGATTATCTCCCAGGACGGAAGGGTGTGCTGAACTTGAGCTTTCCAGCAATCCTATTGCATTAAGATCAGATACCTCCCGCTTCCTCCCTGTGCAGCACAGCCTGGCAAGTGTTCTCCCCATCTCACAGGCCCAATTGTTTCCTGGCTAATCCGCAAGCTCCGTTTGCAGCCTATTGCCTTCTTGAGTTACACTTTGGGCTCAGCCAGGTCACAGCCAGGAGTTAAAGTGCAGGGCCTCAACAGCTGGGGGACCTCAGGGGAGCAGCCATCAGCAAGCAGCGGGGAGGTGCGGGGCTGCGATGCGGTGAGCACTAAACCTCAGCAATCCCTCCTGCCTGGGGAAGAAAACCCCGCACTAGACCTTGCTGGGCTACCTCACGTGAGAGGTGACGTGAGATGGGAGAGTTTCAGATGGCTGAAGTCGCCCCACAGGGCTGGCACTATATGAGACATGCCAACAGATCAGCTCCCTTAGCTCCCCTGGCTCCTCAGCTGATGTCCTGAGATCCAGGCCTCTTGCACCTATTGCTTGACACCGTCCTCACTTCCTCAAGCAAAGCCCTGTAAGGACAGGATGGCTCTGCCTTTCCATCATGGGGGTCTGTCCTTCTCCCTCCCCTGGCTCGGTCCATCCAAGCTCGTTTGTGCAGGCTGGGGTCTGCACGTGGTGTGGTGTGTCCTGGGCGAATGCTGGTCTGCTTGTGCAGGGAGAGTACGGACCCATATCTAGGAGTCCTGGGTCTTGGCAGGCACGTCTGTGTGCAGGCGGAGGGGCCTTTCTCACAAAGAGACTGCTGTCCCTCCTCCTGCCCACACAGGTCTGGGGCACAGAAATGCTCCTTTCTCAACCAGGGGTTTGGGCTGATTCCCTCCATCCTGTGCAGCGTAATGGATTCGCCAGCAGCTGCTGCTCCTGCTTCCTGGGGCAGCCTGGGGAGGCAGCTGTTGGCCTTTCCCGAAGGAGAGGATGAAGCCACCGGGCCCCTCAGCTTCCTCCGTGCCTACCCCGATGCCACTGAGCCCAACAGCACGCATGTGCCCGAAGCACACGGCCTGCGCACAACCCCAAAGGCGGACAACGAGGGGAAGAGAAAGGAAAGGGTGCACGTTTGCAGCGCTTGGCCAGAGGAATCGCTGAGCAGCAGAACAACGCTGAGGTTGCTGGAGCTTCTCTCACGTTTCTCTGCTGTTGCCCGGCCGGCCTGGCCAGTAGGCCCCGTTCCAGGCGGGAGATCACCCGCTGGCCCCCAGCGCGCCTGCCTTGGGAGATTAAAGGCTATGATCACAATTATCCCAGCGGCTGTTTCTCGCCAGGCGCTGGTGTTGAAGCGTGCCAAGCGCTGAGCGCATGAAGGAACGAGTTCCAGCTGCT